CCAGAGTGGAGGAAACTCCTAGACATGGTTGGCGTGACAAACGACCAGCTGGAAGACAAGAAAACGGCAGAGTTTATTTACGATTTTGTCGAGAAACATGGAGGAATCGAAAAGGCCAATCAGGAGCTGGAGAGACAAAACACCGGCCCCGCCCCGCCACGCCCGTCCCACCGAGGGAAGGGGCATGGTGGGCGGGGTGGGCGTGGTGTTCCTCCGCCTCCTCCAACAAGGGACAGTCCAGCTGCACCTGCCCCTCCCCCTCCGACTCGTCATACTCCAGGGCCTCCGCCCAGTGGAAACGTTCCCCCTCCTCCCCCACCACCACCCCTAGGAGGCCCCGCCCCTCCACCTCCCCCTCCAATTAGTAGCAGCGGAAGTGGGGGGCCACCCCCTCCACCCCCGACGAGATCAGGCGGAGCTCCCCCGCCCCCTCCTCCCTCCGACTCCCGCGGAGACCTACTGTCCAGTATCAGGAAGGGAATCCAGCTGAAACCGGTACTTTGGCAAAATTCTCTCCCTCTCTGTCTTCCTCGTCCTTTCTCTCTCCGACTGTGAATGCATAGATAGTACATCAACAACAACTTGCATTACTTATTACTTTGAACAATATGCCAGGCTATTGTTCTGGACCTTAGCAAACACTTCATGAATCAAGAGCTCTAACTTTGTCATAATAATGTGTATCAGCAAGGCCTTCTCACTAAAGCAGGGCCCATTGTGTAAAGCTACAACAAACGTATATACATTGCTGTTACACATGCATACGTACATGCACAGAACCCCCAAGTTGTCTCATGGCAAATGTTCTACTAGTTTCTCTGGACACTTCTCAATTTGTGTCTCTGCAGAGGGCCCAGGTGGACGAAGAAGATGCTGCTCCTCCAGATGATGATCTAGACGGAATGGCTGGTGCACTAGCCAGAGCTCTCGCTGCTCGGGCCAATGTCATTCACCAGAGTGGTCAGTTCTCCCTCCTCTCCCTCTCTTGTTTGCAGTAAAAACCATTCAAACACGAGGTCTTTGTATAAAGGACACTTGGTTTTGCCCCAACTAATACATAGTTACTCAAAACAACCTTTAAAGCAAAAAAACAGGTTTCAAAGACCTTTCTCATTGCTTCACCTACTTCCATACTTTTCCCGTAATAGGGTATTATATATCTCACATTTTGACTTTATCTCAGATGGAGAGTCTGACAGTGGAGAAGAGAGTGACGAGGAAGAGTGGGACTAGAGAGAGACTCAGAGAGAGACAATGAGCCAGTGCTCGCGAGACTCTTAGAGTGTAATTTGCACGAATGTACTTTGAACCTGCGTGTATTATCTGAGTCATATGATCGGCGTGAGCATCAATTAGGGTTTGACGGAGGAGAGCGGTTTTTGCGGCCATGTCTCCTCCGCGGCTTCCTTGCTCGGCTTACTCGTTACTCTTCTGTTCCTGCTGCTTATGGAGCCTCGCCTGCGCCTCTCGAAAATTAGGCGTGAGTACTGCAACAATGTGTGTATATTATACCTCCGTCAGTCTGTCACTGATTGTTTTTTTGACCCAGTTTTGTTCGCAAATGACCTACTACGACCTGGAGAACAGCAGTAGGACCTCCTTCATGCCTTCCCTCCTCCACTTCCAGACCTGGTCACGTGATCCGCGGAACCCAGTAGTCATGAACTACGCCTGGAGTACGGTCGGCTACCCCACGCTCTTCATCTCCCAGAGCAACAACACCAAGAGCTGTAGCAACGAAACTTTTCAAGCCAACCTGACGGAATATTTGGACACACAGGCGTATGGTTCTCTGTACATAGCTGGCTCTGAGAGCGACGCTGCAGTTGCCATGGTGTTTAGAAGACTGATAGAATTCAACGGCGGTAAGAAAGCAAAGGCTGCGGGGATCTTCAACACTTCCGAAGCCGCTGTAAACTCCTCTCAGTACCGGAGTGTGTATCTCAATGACGAGTCTATTGAGTGGTACTATGACCCTCGCCACAGATCAATCACTGGCATAGGGGGACAACTTTTTGGAAGTATAGTTTTCAACGTAAGTCACTCCAAATTAATAATAATTTTCTGTGAGTAATTTTTTACCCTCTACAAATTTTTGACTTGCGTACATTTTTTGTGCTAGTTTGTGATCCCAGAGAAGGAAGGAGACGAGAGGATTTCGTATTTTCCGAAGACGAAATTCACGGTCCATTCGACTGTTGTCGATATGAATCTGGAAGGTTTCAGCTTTAACTCCTCGTTGGTTGGCAAAAATGGTCGCATTGCTATAGAGATGGTAATGTTGAAAGGACGGGCGGTGAACAAGGACAGCACCATACAGACTGCGACCGTCGATGATGAATATACTCCGTCCGTCTTTCGCACCTGGGAATATTACTTTAATAACAGGACCGACCCCAATCAGGCGTACCTGCAATGGAAACCAATATCTTATCAGAGTCGTGATAGAAAATCGACAAAGGCGCAGGAAGCTAACCTGGTGTTCCCCGGCGGAGCAGCTGTGCATGTTCTGGGTGGTGAGGTACCGCGAGGCCTCGGCAGTGCTCTCTTCAACGTCTCAACCACTCTGCTCAATGGGACGGCGTTTTATATGGTCATTGGGACCGATGGTGATGAGAATTACTTGAACCCCTCACGAGTGACCTGGTAAGAAATACTACTACTAGCCATGTTCCAAGGCCCCCCTCACTCTGTTTTTGAATGCCCACAGATTTCACAGAACACTGTATATATACTTTCCTCTCAACACTTCTTGTGTTCCTCTTTTCCTCCTTTCCCCCTCTCTTGACTTTAATAATTATTTCTTGTTCCTCGTTATCTCCCAAAGGACGGCTGTACTTGGGTTTGGTAGGGCTCCCAAGGACAAGATATCAATCGAAGTTGTCATCATAATCATTGTTTCCATCGGAGTCCCTGCTCTCCTCATCTTCCTGGGCAGCTTCTATGTCATGTACAAGAAGAAACCCTGGCAGAACATTGGCAGAGGAATTAAAAGGTCTGTGTGTGTGTGCTTTATTATCTTCATTTACTGGGTGTTTTTTATTTGCTTTTCAGATTACGTAGAATAGAAGGTTATGAACGGATCAACTAGCATTTAATGGAGCGTGTGTATGTATATATGTTGTTTGTTGCTCGTCGGGTGCGGAGCAAGGTTTACGCATGCGCATTTATTGTGTGACGTCATTATTGTTTTGTCGACTGAGAAACATGGCTGTTCTGGAGAAGCTGCCGGTGAATGCCGTGTTTCACGTCGGCGTGGTGCTCCCGTTGGGGACCATTCTCCTCTGCTACACCGTCGCCACGTTACTGGGTCACGTGCCTGTCTGGCTACCGATGATCAGCGACTGCGCCGTCTACCCTCCAGAGAAGTACCCGTTCCGCTGGGGCATCGTTCTCTCGGCCGCGCTTTTCGCAGTACAAAGCGTTCTCCTGTACGGAGCAGACAGACCGTACTCTAGGAGCAAGGTTGCGCTGTTCTTTGGGCTCTTGACGGCATTCTGCCTTAGTGTTGTTGGTGTCGTTAACGAAGCGGAGAACAATACCATTCACAGCAGTAAGTACCTAGCAACTGTGATAGTAGTCTTCTAGTAAACTTTAGTAATCTTACCTCATTTAGGGTTCAGTGTGTGAACGTATTTTCACCATAAAATCAATTCTCTGTCCATTGTAGCTGCAGCAGTCATATTCTTTGTTGGTTACTGGGTCTACATGGTGATTCTAACCTGGCTGCTTCCACAGTACAAGAAAGAAGACAGACCGTCGCAGTTCGCCTATTTATTCCGCCAGTTATGTGTTACTTTGTGTACAATTGATCTCGGCTACTTTGTCTTCATGTCAACCAACTGGGAAAAATACGGTGTATACATAGCCGTCTGTGAATGGTGAGTGAATGTTTTCAGTATGCCGTTTTGTTTTTTACATGAGTTTTTTTATCCCTCTTTTCTAAAGGATTGCCACGCTGCTTATCTTCTTCTACAACTGGAGTTTTGCCGGAGATATGACAAACTATACGCTGGAAGAAATTGAAAATGAAACGCCCGAAAAACCTCGCTCAGACCATGAAACTGTTGAGGCTGTTATTGGACTTGCACGTAAAAATCTCCGGTATTTTGTATAATTGTTTAGGATGCTCCTCGAATGCGCATGCGCGCGTATATTTGGTCGTGGCGCGCGTGGGCGTTGTCACATGACTGACTGTCGCGAGAGATCCTAGCAGAGGCTGAGAAGATGGTAGTCCTGGGTAAGATCCCGGCAAAGTGGCTCGTCCATTTCGGAGCCCTGGTGCTGATGGGCACCATCATCGTCTGCTACGTCATCGCCGTGGCCGACGGTCACGTGATCCCCTGGCTCCCGACCATCAGCGAATGCGGAGAGAATCCGCCCGAGCAGTACATATTCCGCTACGGAATTCACACGGGAGCGCTCCTGCTGGTGGTTCTTGCGATATACATCTATACTGCCGACTTCCCATTCTCTCACGATGCACTCAACGTAGGACTTGGCGTCGTATCCGGGCTCTGTCTCGGAGTTGTCGCCATATGCGCATCCAACGAAAACAACACAATTCACTCGAGTTAGTCAAGTCCGAAGCACATTTTTCGCACCATTTATCCGTTTTCTCGTGCAGCTAATGCAGTAATCTTCTTTGTGTTGGAGGATGTTCTACTGCTGCGCATCACACTGCAGAGCAGGGGCAGTCTTTCCCGACTCTCACTGTCTGTCAAGAGTGTGTGCACTGTGCTGACGTGGCTCTTCTCCATTGGAAGATGTATCCACCTATGAATCCCATCAGTCTATTGCTCACCTTTCCCTTTTGTTATCCACATTGTCCTTACCTGATGCTCTTACTACAGTTCAGTATTGTCCTTACCTGATGCTATTACTACAGTTCAGTATATATAATACGTAGCTTTTCAGGTCTTTACCAGCTCAAAATTTACTTTCCCCATTACGTCAAACCCATTTGCATCCTTTGTACTGGTAAAGTTTACAAAGCAAGATTGTAAGAATGAGGGATTCTTAACTCCGGTAAAAGTTCTCTACATGTTAAACTATCTACCTGGTGAGGTGCACTCAGCTCTTGGCTTGATGTACCAGTTCTTCCATTACTTGAATGGTGAGTGAAGAGTATCTAGTATAATTATACACAGCTTGTATTTATATATACTGCATGCGTATATAGCTCAATGAGAAAACGGGCTTATATTTGTGAGTAGGCATACACTAAGCACTGACTGAAGTTGTCTTTCTCTTTCTGGCTATTATAAACCAGTTCTCTTGTGTTTCATTTTGTCTCTGGTGCAGGGGTAATACGTTTGCCATCCTAGTCTTTCACTGGAGTCTTGCAATGGACTTCAGTCACGACTATTTCCTTGCTGCCTTGAAGAGTGACGTTGGTACAGGTAGAGCTGAGAAGATAAAACTTTATGACTGATTGAGAGAACGTAAAGACACCTTTTAATTATACTGACCTGAGATTATCTATTTTGGATTTGTGGTGGGTTTATTGCGCATGCGCCGGTCTCACCGTGGTGGGTCAAAAGGTCGAATGCAGCTCTTCTCGTCTTTGTCTGCTCTGTTTCGTGGAGTGTTATTTGCACTACTCTAAACGCATTTGCAAATCCAGCAACACGACGCAAAAGAAGTAAGGCTCACTGGCCATTCTGTTTGCAGGGCGGGACGGGCACAAGCGGATTCTAATTGTTGCCCACCAACCACCGCCCGCAGCCACGCACCGAGCGGAGGGAACGGCGACTGTCGCCTAAGGAAGAAGTATGCAGCAACAGACTGTCTCTTCTCCACAGAAGCAGCGCAGCCATGGAGGTAAAATATTGCATATACAACACTTCTTGGACGATTCTTTACTCTAAGCATGTGCAGCACACTTACTCGTCTCGTTATACAACACACTAATGTATTACTACGGGGCAGAACCAAGTGTCCTTCATAGACAGGTGTCCTTTATTCGGAGGGTCCTTTGCAGAGGTTTCTATACATACGTAGGTGTGTGTAAGTTCAGTTGTTGTGTGTTGTTGTCTCTATAGGAGGTGGAGGTGGTGGGCCTTGGGAGGTGGAGGCAGACATCTCGTCTCTTCTCTCCAAACACTCCGTTGAGGAGGTGAGGAGGATTGAGCAGAAGACCAGACTGGACATCGAGAGGAAGAAGGAGGAGCTGCGACAGTTGGTTGGGTGAGCAGAGACACACAATGTAACCTTCTCTCTTGAGGTATATAGACAAGTAAAAATTGGCAGAAAAACGAGATATTTGCAAGAAGAGTTTACAGAGAAAACCTTCGCAGCAGCCTCTCAAAGTTTCTGTGAAAATCTAAGCTATACACATTAATTTTTCTACTTACTAGCACAGAAATGATTATCTCTCGTCACTCTCTCTCTGTCCTCGTTCCATGCCACACACAGGGAACGGTATCGGGACTTGATCGACGCTGCCGACTCAATCATGGAACTAGAAACAGGCTCGAAACAGGTTTCCAACACTATTATGTAATGAAGTATATTAATTAGCCGGTGTTACTATAAATAGGTCGGAGGGTCATTGGGTCACATGATCAAGGTGTGTCAGAGTCTTCAACAGACACACTTTCTGAGAGGATTGGGAGGAATGCGGGGCCCTCCGGTTAGAGAGTGAGTCGTGAGGAGAGAGGACAGGCGTAGGTGGTTCATACACTCTCCTCTCTTCCTCTTCCTCGCAGTGAGGCACGTGAAGTGACGGCCCAGATGAAGTTGCTGGGAGATGCTCCAGAGAAGGTTTATCCCCGCTCTCAGCTATTTCAGGAGACGAAGAGGTGAGAAGAGAGAGAAGGACAGACGAAGAAACCGAGAAGCGAGGAAGCAGACGAAGAAAAATGGAGACGAGAGAGGGAAGGAAGAATGAATAGACAGCGAGACGAAGAGAGAGGTAAGAAGAAGACAGAAGCGGAGACACGACTTTCAGTCGGCAGACGAAGCACACAGCGCGCCTCGAGGCAGAGCAGCCGAAGACAAAAGCGCGCAGGAGCGGAAGGAATGCCTATACCATGCTCATATTTTGCTTGCCTCAGCAACATCATCATCTTTCACTGCATCCTCCTCGCTCTCGCTCTCTGGCATTCGCTCTCCTCCTTCGAGCTAGCAGCAATCAGCCAATAGCACGCCTAGCCAGATATGGCAATCGCAATATCTCGAATAGTAAGCAGCAATATCTAGAAGCTTCCAGAATATTCCTCATGGCTCGCTACACGCACACGCAGCTGCAAGTGTCTCTCCCCAAGAACGCTCTCCTCCAGCGACTGTGGCAGGCCACTTCTGGCTTCAGGGTATATACGCAGGCTTCTGATACACTGTACTGTGGCGGCTAAACTGTTACTATAAAATCCTCCACTGGGCCCTATTGTTTAGCTCCATCTTTATAAAGTTTGTACTGACACATTCCCTTTAACTATAGAAATAGAAACTGGCTGATTACTCCACTGCGCCGATTCAGCGAGGTTGTTCACATTATATCAGGGAATTTTTGTAGTTTTGTGTTTTGTGTGTGAGAGCATTGTGTGCGTGTGACGCATTTTTCTGTTGAATTTTCATGTTTCATTTTCCTGGATGCATTTACTCTCTCCATTCCCCTCTTTTCACTGATTGTCATTGTGTACGTGACTACTAACGTATATACTGCAGTTCAAAGGTCATTTTCACTAGCCAAATTAAGTGTTGCATTCATTCTCTAAATATTTAGCAATGTGACGAAAATGGTTCTGTTTTCTTTTGCATGTTAATAATTTCTTTCTTTCCCTAATGTTTTTAAAAGTTTTTTTTCTCCACCAGGCCACCGTCCTGGAATGCTGCAGACGTCATCTGCAGGCCACGGAGCAAAAGACGTGTGCCGTCCTCTCCTCTCTCGTTGCCATAGTGATGTTAGAGAACTGCACCCTCAGACAAGTCTTTTCTCAGTTTCTTCTTGCTCAGAAGGTGAGGAGGGGGGACACTTAATTCCATTTGGTGCCCACTGTACCGTTCAACTCGAACAGCGGTTCCACTAGTACAAATCTGATGTTCATTATTTGGTGGGAAAGTAGCTTGCTCAACACAAGTGTACTATAGCAGTTTGTGCACACACACACACACCTGGCCTGTGTGTATCTTTCTTATTTCAGGTGGCCATTCAAGCTGTGTTCCATCCTTCCAAACAAAGTAAGGGGTTTACATCATGTTCTAGTAATTTCTAACATGCATTTCAGTTAATCTTTGTGCATCATTTCTGAGTGTACTGCATCCATGTATACAGTATTATGGGGTAATGTTTGAAATACTAGTATGCTTTCAGTAATCTCTGAGTTTACTGAGTCTGCTGTGTGTCAGTGCACTACAGTGTGAAGGCCCAACTGTCAGAGCGGTTTGTTTTGGTAGTCGTACATAGATCATCAGACGGTCCATCGTACTCACAGCCAACATCTTCTCTCTTCGACCAGCCCAAGGTGGGAAACGGAAAGCTACTATACCCCGCGTTTATAGGCCTCTCCTCCGCGATAGCGCTCTAGTCTCTATCTCTCTCAGGACTCATCGATTCCTCTATCCTCTATTCTACTAGAATCTACTTCTTGCTCTCTCGTCTCTCCCATCACTCTGTGTTTCACACAGGCTCCTCGCTATTACTTCAAGCTGTGAAAGACTTTGCCGCTGACCTACAAAAAGGTATATAACCATTATAGTGGCATACTAATAGGCCTACTTAACCTCTATACTATGCTGCAATAAGAGAACCTTCTTTCTAACTGACTGGGTGCCTGGTTCTCTTCGCTTGGCTTTGGGATTGACTAGTGGTGGTGATTCTAGGGCTTAGGGGAAATTTCATCTTCACTCTCCCACTGTATCATCCTTACTGCCCCTGTACTACAGTATAATATATACAATAGCTGTGTAGCAACATACACCGCAGTGTGTATAATAGTTAGAGCACCCTTGTAAGGTGTGTACATGATACAAAGGAAGCTTTATGGGAGAATCGTGTGGCATTTAAGTGGTACCCTGTAGTAAGCTAAAGTCTAAAGTAGTAAATAGTAGCTATGGCTTACAGATCAAGAGTATAATGGGCGCTGCTTTGTATAGTGTGTGTGTGTGTGGGGGGGATGGAAGTTTTGGTGGGAAAGTGTGGAGGAGAGTTGAAGGGGCTTTTTGTTTGTGTACACTGGTGGGGGGGGAGAGGTAAGAGGAGGGGAAAGGCTTTTGGTTCTGTGGCTGTCTTTCTGTTTGGTGGCTGACTGGAGGAAAGAGAGAGGGCGGTGGTAAGGAAGAGGCTGTGCACCATCATTTTGTGGGAAAGACAGTGAGCAGTAGGGAAAGGAAACGGGACCGAGAAGACGGGGAAAGCGTACTCCATTATTCCTCTCTTTCTCACCAAACTCCCAGTTTCAGTGCCGGCATCTCTGAGGTCAACGACGGTGTCAGAGGTGCCTTCTAACGACCTCCAGTTATTGTGTCTGGAGTGGCTTACTGCGTGAGTGCACCTTGATTCTCTGTATCCTCACTTATTGGCTGTACAAACGGAGGCTATACTGTATAATTATTACTAGGAATGTGCACGCGCATATTTTGCCCCGCACCTGCCAGCCAATGCGCAAACAGTCGGATTGAGGCTGCTCGTGCGCGCGCTCTACTGACTGCGTGCGAAGCCAGACTTCCTACGAATTGCGCGCACGGCGGAAGCTAGACTTCCTACGAATGACGGAAGTTATTCTTCCTTTTGGTGACTAATTGACATTCCTAAGCGTGACTAATTGACGACGTACGTACGCATATCGCGAGAATACAACCCGGAGTAGTTGCCTCACGCTAACGCGCTCGGCAATGATAACAGGGGAAAACTTTGAGGGTAAAAATTTTTTGTGGGCAGCACGGTAAATTTATACGGTGGGGCAGGGAAATGGTATAAATTATGTATATTGTTGTGTTTTTTTCACCGCCTACAAAGTTTCTACGCTTTCTTTGGCCAAAATTCATTGCTGTACATATATATGTGCTGTGGTACTATACAGTGGACACCCTCTAAAGGCACCCTGAAATGGCTCTAGATCTTGAGGCTCGCGTCAACAAGCGATTTACAGGGTTGTGTGGAATCCTATTGCTGCAGATTTGATTGATTTGTGGAGTAATTAGATCAAATACCATTTCCTGCTGTGTCTAGAATTGTGGGCCAGTGTGCCCCTGGTAATGGATTCCCCCCCTCCCCCCTCCCTCTACCAGTTGTGTGGAAGATGTGAAAGAATGTGTGAGACCGCTGCTGTCTCACGTGACAACGGTCAGAGCTCTCAGTAACATCAGGTCTTCACTCCACTCCCTACTGTCTGAGGTACATACTTACAGTACAGTACAGCTGGCGTGTACATTTCCGAGGGTGGATCGCTGTACCCATTACCTTTGCCTTTTCCCGTTTAACCCTGAAAGTACACCTATGACATGTTGTGTGAGTGTATCCTTATAGAGAGGTTGGAGAGATAAAGTCATTTCCAGTGAATTACATACAGACACTGATCTAATACTGGGTAGATCCCACTTAATATATATATATATACCCCTGTATGGGACTCTGTAGTAAAGTATTAAGTATTCAGTGTACCAGAAAGTGTCCATATTAGTGAGGTGTCCTTATTTCCGGGTGTGTTACACTGTATAGTCCCAAGATGTGTATACGGAGTACACCGTGACCTCTGCCTGTAGGTGTATATAGTTTATGGTCTAGCTTATTTCAGGGTTCGCTAATGGAGTGGCAGCTGTTTTCCCATGGCCCTTAATGGCAGTCCAGACACCTGCTATGGAAGTAGGGTGCTCCTTATTAGTGGGAGTAAAAGAACGTGGTTTCTATGATGCACATGCGCTGAATTTGACCATCAGTGTGCTTGTACCAACATTAACCCACCTGTGCATGCACAGCAGGGCTACGCTGGCTTGTGTGTGTGTGTGCGTGTGTGCATACATGCGAAGAGGCAGACTAAATCCACAAAGCCACTATAAACCATCCCTAAAGAGCAGGGTTAAATTAATGTGCGAAGGGTGTGTGACTCGGGGTTAAAAATACGGTAGGTTGATCTACAACAACATGAAAACTGGGAGATATGTCTACACTAGTTTTGATTGCGAGCTTGAGTAGTTGGCAGTAGTGAAGAGAAAGAGAGAGGTCTGGTGTGTGTGTGTGGCCAGGAAGATCAGGTTACACCATGACTTCCTGCTACGAAACCAGAGTGTAATGGGATTTCTTACCTTCCTAGACCCTGGTCTTGTAGCTCTAACATTTCAGGGCACTGTTTTGAGCTCTAACTGAGTTTTAACAACTCTCTCTTTCCCTGTCTTCCTCCCCCCCCAAACATGACAGCCTGAGAAAGAAGAACCCGACCCCTCCTCCTCTTCCTCCTCCTCTTCCTCTCGGTCTCAGCGGCCACCGGTAGAGAAAGCCAGTTGGCCTGACGAATGGCAGCGACTGAGTCGACTTGTGTTTGCCCGAGACAACGTGTGTATTTGGAACCAGTTTCTGAAACATCTCTTCCGGGAGAGGGCCATGGTAAATAGATACATACACTGGAAATGTTCATAAATCTTTAAAAATTAACGGAATAACAAGACAACATGGGGTAATAGTAATAAGCAATTTAATTTAGCTTGCTGATTAAATTGGGATTGGCATGTGGTTGGCTCCAAGGAACAGACAAACAGAGGAATGTACTGCTAAGCATCAATACACAAAATAGCAAAGCAGAACCCAGTGACCTTTATGGAGAAGTTCTTCTCCCTATTTGGAGGTATGGTGGCCAGACTTCCACTAGAAGAAGAAGCCTCAAAAGGCTAGGCATAGTCCACCCCCCCAACAGCCACACTATCTGAAGTGGGGGAGTCCACACAATGGCAGTAGGCAATCCCCAGGAGCTTATCTCCCACCACAACTTGGGGTGAATACCTATCAAAGGATGAAAGAAAGGGATATAAGGAACTCCCTGAAACTGAAATTTGGTTATTGTGGTTTTTGGGGTACAAACCTACTAATTGACATTTCTACTATAATGTGAGTTTGCCCTGTCTCTTTCGCTCTGTCATCTTTCTCTCTCTCTCCCCTCAAGGCAATCCTCACCAAGCATTTCACAGCTGCAGAGGAACACGCAGTCAACTCGCTGGCCCAACTCCTAGAGGATTTGACCTCTGACCCTGCACGCTATTCCAATGACGTCATCGTGACATCGCAACTGTGGGTCGAGGATGGAGTGGAGGGAGTGAGGGGAGGGTTTGAGGGGAGAGGGAGACAAAACAAACCAACTTCTCTCACCCTGAAATCCAGAGGGTGCACTCCTAGTGTATATATGTGAGTTTTGAGTTTTGCAAGTTACAATCCCCAGTCTGGTATTAAGAAGTAAAGATAATCCCCACGGTAGTAACCTAGAAATTATCCCAATTAGAAATCAGCCCATCAAATTAAACTTTCTCAGCAATATTGGGGAACGATTGGTACAATGTGTGTAGAATTTGTGTATACTGCTTGCATTTGTTGTGTGTTGTTTGTTGTTGTTTGTGTGTTGTTGGTTGCAGTTTCTGCCAGGAAGTTGGGAGAATGCTCCAAGTTATCGTGGATGATGCTTCTCACTATCTGCTGCCTCGGGAGCCGGCTAGAGGTGGCACCCACCAGCTGGCGACGACCAAGGTAAGGAGAGAGCCAGATTAAGGAGAGGGGGGAGAGGAAGGACAGGGAAATAAGAGAGCAGGAAGAGTGGGGGGGAGGGAAAAAGGGGGGGCAGGTAGGTAAGAGGGCTAGGGAGGACATGGGGTCCTTCTTTCAGCTCATATTGCGTGTTATGCACAGTAACAACAACCCCCACCCTTGATGCTTTTGGTGCCCCCCTTTGCCAGTTGCTGTACACATCTTCTTCAGTGACTGTTTGTACAGAGAGCTGAGGTCAATAGAGAACCTGTTGGTTAGTCTATCAGATGCACAAGTAAGCAATACTTGGCCTCAGGCCCAAGGTGACCTGTGGCGTTGTGCTCTGCAGAGGTCACCAACTGCATTCCTAGGAAAAATCCCTTTTCCCCTTTTGGTTGCCAAAGGTGAATCTCTGGAAAAACAGTTCCTGATTGCTGGTTGGTCTATGTTTAAAGTGTCCCTCTCTACAAAGTTGCTAATAAAAACAGCTGCAAGTTCTACATTTTTGTCCCTCAAAAATATTGTTTCCACTCTGTTTTAACCTCTTCCTAGTCTGGTGCCCAGACCCTGCCCCTCAAGAGAGGAAAAGGGTCCTGGACTCTTTTGAGGGCGGGGTCTGGGCACTAGACTAACCTCTTCCTGCGCCATACAAGATAATTTGGAAGGTCTGTAAAATTTTGTAAGATGGCACACTGTAGAATTTTCATACATGCTGTAAAAATTCATAAATGGGGCCATTCCATGTGCACACTACCCATAGATGTCAGTTTTAAATCAGCATTCATCAGAACGGTGTGTCACTATTATGGGCTGGGAAAGTATGGAGAGAGAGAGGGGATCACTTTTTCGTGTGACTGTTCTTACACCAGCTTAGTTTACCACTCAGTTAGACAATGTCAGCAGATTCTTATCGTATCAGCTTCCCTCATCAGGTTTTGTGTATTGCGGCTGTATATTACAGGAGGAGGGCTTTCCTTTCCGTCTCCACGGTGACCATAATGAGATGCAGGAATTTATTCGCCACTCGACCGTCGAATTTGTAAAGAGGTACATGCACGTTTAACAGACTTGCGAGTTTGTTTTAATTGTTAGAGCAAAAATTTTGATGTCCGTCCCGGGTGTGTTGTGTGTGTGTGACTGTTATTTCCCATTATGTGTGTGTCCCCGTGGTGTGCAAACGGTAGTTGTGCAGACTTGACTCGTAATACGCGGTGCGTCATGTGAGTAGGCGAGAGAGGAAAAACGGAAATATGAACCATAGCCTACGGTGTCAGGGGTGAAATTTTAAACCAGGCCCTTGGAGCAGTTTTCCTTTGAGGTCAACTGATACACACCCTCTCCAGACACCAACAAACAGGTGTAATATTATGGAGTGTACTATGAGAATGCTAGCGCATTGGTTTAGGTTTCGAATGACGTACGAAGTAGGGCCACCAGGCGAACCTTAACCTAAAGTGTCATGAAGAGGAGTCAAAGGAACTTTGAGAAACCGTAACAACAAAGTTGACGTAAACATGAAGAGGGGTCAAAGGAACTGTAAACAGGCAAAAACATGTATATAGTCTGTCACTGACTTGTGGAATCTGTTAAACCAGCGTTCCCAGCTCCCTAGTCAACACAGCCTGTTTCAAGAGCAGGGTCATACTATAATTATTCACCTCCACGGCTAGCTGGCTACACACACTCTCTCTCTCTCTGTGTGTTTGACTTCCCACGGCTCAACACCAGATTAAGAGAGGTTCGATTTGCAGGCATCCTAAACAGCTGATATACGCCTCCCCAAGACACACCAGTTACGTGTTTGTTGTGGTTAGGGCAATATTGCAGTCCCAGCGTACCTTAGCACACTGCCAGTGCTTTGTTTGCGTAATGTGCGCGTTTGCGTGCGTGTTCTTTGTACTTTTTGAGATACGCACACACTTTTTGTGCGAGACGTACAGGTTTCGGGTTGTCTTTGTATAATAACACGTGGTTTTAGGTACGGCTGTGTTCTTATTGAAGTGGTAACAGGTTAGCTTTGGGTACGGCTGTGCTCTTATTCTTTGTACTGAAGTGGTAACAGGTTAGCTTTGGGTACGGCTGTGCTCTTATTCTTTGTACTGAAGTGGTAACAGGTTAGCTTTGGGTACGGCTGTGCTCTTATTCTTTGTACTGAAGTGGTAATAGGTTAGCTTTGGGTATGTCGGCGTTGCGTTCAGCTTTGAAAAACTGCTTCTAGGTTTCTATGTGTGCGCACGGCTCTTTGTTCAGTTCTTGTTCAAAACTGATGTTTTGCCAGTTTTGCTCATTTTGTTTCCGGTTGTTTGCAGTTGTGTGTTTTGGGAGCTTTTTGATTGACACCTTATGTTTTGGTGTGTAAGTGCTCAACTTTCTTTAGGTTCGCTGTGCACGATTCTTTTTATTTTTACCAGTTCTGTAGTGATTATGTTAACCTGTCTGCATTCCTTATAAACCGACACCTTTGCTAGTGTTATTGGTATGCCTGTGTTTGCTGGTTCTTATACGACCCCTAAGAAAAGGACACCTCACTAATACGGAACGGACACTTTCTTCTGGTGTTCTGATTAGAGGGGTTCCCCTCCCCCATTGTCGTCTCTGACTTGGCAATGTATCTCTCTCTATAGGTTCCTGGGTCAAGTCCAGAGGACCGTGGCCGACCTCACCTCACAACTGGAGGAAGAGATGAACCAACTCTCCTCTTCTGTTGGAGACAGGTACGTACTATAGGCAGGCATCATAGCTGACAGTTGGAAACCTGAGGAACAAAACTGAGTGTTTCTGCAAGAGACTTTTCAGTGAAGTTTTGTAAGCGATGCATATTGTATTTGCAGAACAAGCAAACCGTGGAAGATTTACACACTGAAATCTCAAATCACAAAGTCTTACCTTTCCTTCCCTATGTACGCTGTACTTTGTATTATGTGTAAAGACATGATAGTGGGTTTTGTGTTTCTCTGTGTATTAAAGTCAGCATAATTATTTTTACTACTGCAGGCTGCTGGTGGTAGCACGCGTGTGCCAAGCTCTGTCTGAATTCTGTCCTCCGCTTTCTCTGCTCTCCCTACGGCTGTAAACCACCGCAGCCAACCACTCTAGCTAGTTCAAGGTTGTGAGGAGAGAGGGAGATGATGATGGAGAGGGGAAGGGAGGAGAAAAGGGAGGAAGGGGGGAGAGGGAGAGAGATGGAAGAGTGAGGGGATAAAGGGAGCGAAGGGAAGACTTTGGTTTTGGGTTGCCAATGGAACTGTCCCAGGAAGTTCCCATGAATCCAGTTCACCTTTCTTCCTGTTATCCCACATTGGTGGGTGGGGGGGTATGAATATTAAACTGGTCTTAGACCCACTGAGCTGTATCTCTTTCCTGTTGCAACCACCACCTGTGCTACCTGTGTTGGGGTCTGTTAAAGATCTGTTGCAGACCCCCTGCACTAGCTAGTGTCCTCTGTTGCACGAGGCTGTGTAATATGTACACCTGGGTCTGCCTATACACAAACGCCTACTCCTCTGTCATTGGTCTTGTACAAGACCTGTAGCTAGCAATTTTGACCATACACTGCTTTCTACATGTAATGTTCCAGCCCATTATAACCTGGTAATTGCTCGTGCTCTAATGATGTTGTGGGGTGGATTTTCAATGTTTTTGGACATTTCCCTCCCTCCCTCTCTCCCTCTCTCTCTCTCCCTCCCTCTCTCCCTTCCTCTCTCCCTCTCTCTCCCTCCCTCTCTCCCTCTCTCTCCCTCTCTCTCCCTCTCTCTGTTTGTAGACACAAGGTCCGTAGTCAGAGAACAGCGAAACAGAAAGAGGTTGGTGTCATATTCGTGTTTGTTGTTGTACGTTTACAGTTTGTGTTCACCGTGTGTTTGCTTGTTGAAAAAGCACAGCGGTATAGGTATTTTGTCGCAAGTTGTGAAAGTACAACTCCGGGAGCATGTGCACGACATGTGCATGTCACATGTTGTACTGTATACTTGTGTACACATCTTGTGTATGCAATGCATCCTGTGGGCTCTGGGAGGTTGGGAATTTCAACTACTTATTATTAGGAATTGTTCCTACTCCCAATATTATATTGGTTTTTAGGTATTAGGTATTAGATTCTATGGATGTTCCCGTAATTACAAACAATGCAATTATCTTGCAAGAATGCCTGACCTGTCTGCTCTCAGTACACTAGAAATTAACAATTCCTTTTACGGTGCTAATTGGCTAGGATGGTTCCTCGTAATTTAAGGTTCCCATGATCTCAGAAGGTAGCGTAGTGGCAAGCCTAGAAAATAGCATGAATGTGTCCATTGTAACCTACGTCATTTCTATTATTCTCACGATATCCTATAGTACAAGCTCTTTGCTGTAAGTCGTCATTTACACTATGTAAGTCGTCATTTACACTAAGCCATTAGTGGCTTGTCATCTCATGCAAAACACCAGATTTCTTTGCCAAACCCATCTCCCCAACTGCACCAGAGCATTGCTGGCTAGCTCTTTGAACGTAACCAGAGGAGCCTTAGTGTCTTTGGGTGTGTCTGGGTACTTGCTATAAAAGAAGGGGCTAGTGGCACACCATTATGTTTATAAGTGGGCCCTTTGCCAAGAGAATTGCAACCAATGCGCTATGTAGGCTTACCCCCCTCCCCTCACTGGGGCATTGTGCCTATAGCTGTAAGTAGAGGAAGAGAGGGGGAGGGTGTATAGGCACATGTCTTGTACCTACCACACCCCATGTCTTGGGAGGAGCTGGCTAAGCAGATATGAAGGTATGCCTGTGCAGGGAAGGTCCAGATTACAAATTAGTTTACATTGACATATAGTTGAGCTTGTCCACCACCCATCAACCTTCTGTCACCCCCACCTCTCTTCCCTATATCCCTCCCTCTGTCAGTTGTGGTGTGGGTGTTTGTGCCAGGCTGAGGCTCCATTCCTTCATTCTTTAGCTGTGTGTTTGTGTTTCCATCTAGGATGCTGAAACTAACACAGTGGCCCAGCTGCTGAACCTGCAGCGCTCCTCCATACACAAGTAAGAAAGTAATCCACACACTGCAGCAGCAAGAGATTGTACAAGTGCACAGTACATGCAATATAGTGTGAAAAACGCTTCCTGCGTGTTTGTGTTAGGCTCCGTGACCACACACTGGCTGTTATTACAGAGGGTTGCACCAGCTACAGGAGACTTGTTTTCCCCTTTTGTGAGGGGTTGTAGTTTGTGCAGTTGAAGTGTGTGTGTGTGTGTGTGTGTGTGTGGGGGGGGGGCCACTGTGTGCTGCAAAAACACATCAGAAGCAGGTGGCCTCCTGTTCTATGTATATCTACTGAGTGGTCGGTTGGGCCCTGTGGATATTGGGTGTTAATAGCAGATGGTGGGTAGAAAATGTACAATGCTGTCTTTGCACTCTAATAACAAGGTAACCAATAAAACTGGTTACTCTGCAATGCTGACTTAAACACAGAGCACACTGATCGACAAAGAGAGCGAATCACCCACGAAATACGCTGGCTAAGAAATCCTTCAACGGCGACTGAACTTACTCTCCACCATCACTGTTCCTGCTCTATTGTAGCGATGCTGCATTCACATCCGGCATTCACGTCATGTGTACTGTACCCACTGTATAATAATTATGTAAATTGTGTGGGCAGAGGAAATACTACTATTTATAGGTTGCTGGTGGGATGATGTCATAGCCCTGGGAATGCCATTGTGGTCCAAAGTGGTGCCAAAGTGTTATGTTTATACTGGGCAACTGTATGGTACTGAAGTGCTAATGACTTGCACCCTCTCTCTCCCTCTCTCCCCTCTCTCTCCCTCTCTCTCCTCTCCTTCCCTCTCTCCCTCTCTCTCCTCTCCTTCCCTCTCTCCCTTCTCTTTCCCTCTCTCTCCTCTCTTTCCCTCTCTCTCCTCTCCTTCCCTCTCTCTCCTCTCTTTCCCTCTCTCCCCTCTCTTTCCCTCTCTCTCCTCTCCTTCCCTCTCTCTCCTCGCCTTCGGCAGGGTCTGGGCTGATAGTTGTGCTCGGCAGTTTGTGACCAGCTATCGAAACCAGCTAAGCAACGCCTCCGAGCTAAACACCCTCTCTTGTTCACTGGTATACATGTATACATTCATAGTAGTGGCACAGCGCTCCACAGTTGAGGGGTTAAAGAGAGAGGGTTAAATGTCGTGTTGTTGTCTCTGGTGTGTAGATATGATGTTCACCAGAAACAATGTCCAGAGAGCTGTCAGGAACGTGAGGTGGACTGATAATCTGGGGCACTGGTTGGGTGTACATAATATACGTACATTCATAGTAGTGGCACAGCCACTAAGCTCCACGTGCAGTAGTGCAGCATGTATCACGTGTGTTTCAATGCGTGCGTGCGTTTCCGTTTGGGGTGATTCAGCTGGTTTATAGCAGAATTTGGGGGTCGTTAGTTTTAGGTTCACAAACGTCACGAACGCCGTCCGTACACATAGCGACAATCCAGAGCTGTATTGGGTAGGTGGTACTGAGAAAAATAAGCCGACGAGTGTTGTTGTTAGAAGTTTGTTTTCTAAATGGGACACCTGACCATACAGGGATATGGAGGAAAGGATAAGGGGACTGGTCAGCTTCTGAGGTCCCTCTCTCAGTGCCTACGTAGTTGTGTACTGTGGTTAAACGTGGGGGAAATGATACTGTAGTTTTGGTGGGTGAGTTGGAGAAGAAAGGAAGGAAGGGGAAGGAAGGAAGGAAGCTTGGTGGTTATACTCTTGTACTCACTTCCCATGAGGGAAATGGCAGCTTGGACTTGTTTTGCTGCTTTTGCCGCTTTTGCCCCCCAAACCTCCCCCCCAACTGGTCAGCCTCTGTTATTTTTGCCAGCTGTATACAGCCAACTCATCAGCTGAGGTTAGGTTATGTAAAGCGGTTAATTTGCAGGATTCCTGTAATTAAGATCACCTAATTAGATGAGCTGTGCAGTGCTGCCATGTGCAGTATTATGTTAAGCATCTCCCTGTCCTTTGCTGAAAAATTCTCAAGTGTGTATTGAAGGTAGCATGTCACCCTTTGTGGACAGCTAGCTAACCTTCCTACACACTTGAGAATTGTGCCACATTTTTTCACCCTCCAGGCGTGGGACGAGATAAGTATTCTCGAAGAGGCTGAGAGTGGAAAACAAGTGTCCTCTACAATCAAAGTCCCTTCTCAGGTGAAATAATAATATCTCTGGCACTTGAAAAATCCCCAACTTGCCAAAGACAAGAATGCTGTGACGGTTATACTGTGCATCGGATGGTGATAATTGCTCGTAATGAGAGAGTAATTTGTTCTGACGTAAGCATGCCAATTTATGCGGGATCGCATGAGAACTACTATGGAGTTGCCAGGCAACGCAATACCAGGGCCAAGGCGGCCAGGGGTTAAACTTGCAGTCTAGGAGCGACTTGCGTGTGTCCTTGGGAGAGCTAAACTATGTACCCATTAGAGTTTCCTGCTTTTATGACAACACTGGGTGAACCTAATCCCATGTATAGGGTCCCATATATGGGCTAGCTTAGGTTTTTGATAGGGCTGGTCATGTTGTACACAAGTCTGTGGTGGCCTATCTCTCTGCAATATGTCCCCGGCCCAATGTGTGGGCTGGGGTGCAGACAGGAACTTGTAGTTTTCCATGTTTTTCCATGTACGTTATCAGTCTTCAATCAGATTTTCATGTACTTTATCAGTCTTCAATCAGATTTCCATGTACTTTATCAGTCTTCATCAGTTTTTCATGTACTTTATCAGTCAGATTTTCATGTAGGGCGGCCGGCCGGCCTGCGCAAAGAATGTAGCTGTAGTCGTCTACTTGTTGTACATGTCGCTGAAAGTCAGACGCAAAGTCTGGTTCCGTGAGGAGAGCGTTTGGCTCCAGTCGGCTAGACGGCACTTGGCAACAAATCCTAAGCGACACCCCCCACATCAGTCCAACACAATACGCGCATGCTTTCAAGAATTTGTCGTCGTCGTTGATGGGATGTGACTAGACGCAGTGTTTGTATCATGAGACCAGGGGTTTGTATAGTGTGCCATTCATTCCATTGGCCTCTGATGGAGAACTAGGTGGAGGGGGAGCGGGGGAGAGTTTGAGAAACAAGCTCAGTGTTTCTCCAGACACTTGTCTGGACCACTTCCTTCCTCTTTCCTCTCACATGCCTATGCTAATCCCACTGAAGCTAATGCCACAATTCCATAGAGTAAGGCTGTGCCATACTTACATCCTATGGGAATGATTTCAACCTAGACTGTAATTCAAGTGCCTGTGCATGCAAAGCAGGGATCTAATTTGGCACCCTGGCTCTCCCAGTCCATTTGGACACTGGCAAACATCCTTTCTGGCTCAATTCTAGGAAGTGTGGGAGTACACTTTGTGGCCCTGGACCACAATGAGGGCCCAGGATGTGAGTGTGGCTCAGTTGTCTTGACTTAATTGCCACTTCCTCTTTCTGTTTTCCCCCAAAACAGTCTCGTTGACCTCACATGACTGTTAACTCATTTTCTGTCTGACACTTTCTCCTGACACAGGCCGCTGTCTATGTCACTTCCCTGCTGTTTGCAGCCTGTCAGGAAATCAGCAGAATTGGAGGACACACCATGGACAGGTGACATATTATTATTATACTACTCTCACTTGTCTTGAAATAACCATGTATGCAGTGGAACCCCTCTAATTAGGACACCTATTGGACAGCCGAAAGTGTCTTTATTAGTGAAGTGTCATTCCGAGAAAAAGTTGGATTAGAGAGTGTCCTCATTTCAGGGGTGTTCTTGGAAAACTATTGCATACTCTGACCTTCTCTTCAGGAGTGTCCTCCAGCACTTCAGTGGTCAATGTCTTCGAGGGGTTTTGGAAGTTCACCGCACCTTTCTCGGATCTGACCCCGCGACCCCAGCTCACATCCACCAAAACTGCGCTCTCCAGCTTCTCTTCAACGTCCGTTTCGTCTGCAGTGTTCTCTCCAGCCCTCCCGACATGGAGGTATAATTATATAAATACATTATACGTGAGGCTTGTTTGTACTACTACATGGTCCACGTTTTTTTTGGTTTTCTCGCAATAAACTGAGCATCGTTGGATAATAGATCTTGTTACACATTCCCCCGCTTCCACTTTCTTTGTACTTGGTGCATACGTAAATGTACGTGACGTCGTTGTTGGCACTCAGGTGGGTTATTAAGCAGCTCAGATGCCTTGTAGATGCGAGAATGGCGTTGAAGGGGCTCTACTAGATTCATAGGGTTGGCTGCCGGGCATGTCTGCACGAATACGTTCAGTCAGGATTATGCCGTGTTGCGTCTCACCCGGAAATGAATCCATTGTCCTGCCTGGCTTCTATGAGCCCTGCATGCAAATAGATTTCTTCTTTCCAGAGGTAATCCCTCCACCCAGGATGGAGCCTCTCTTCCAGGAATTGTGTCCCACCACCTGAGACTAAATATCAGCAGTCTCACTGTATACATAATATATACTTCCACAGTTTTCTTACAGGCGACACACTGGTGAGTGGTGCTGGGAATATTTTTGTAGTGCATTTACTGGATTTCTGCCATTGTACGAAGGCTGTATTTCTTGTCCCGACCGTGTCACCTCTACTTACCATGTAGTGCTAAGAAACATACCGCCCATTAGCTGCACGCGTGCTTGTTTGCGGTTGTTTGCTGAGACCCTAAGAGATCCATTACGTCGTTTCACCTCATGATGCTGCAGGAAGACACGGCCAAACTCCAGCAACAAGTACTGCAACAGCTCAGCGGCCACATTGATCCGTTTGACCTGACCGTGTTCACTCCCCACCTCCTTTCAGCTCTCGAGCGTCAGCTCCACAGATCCACTGTGAGGGAAACTCTATCTGCTATTATTGTGGCCTGGGCCGCCATTGTCCCACATACAATTCAGAGCTGAATCATAATTCGTTAACCCAGGGGAAAATTCCCTGCGTGCATGTTTGGTTCTATATCTGTGTGTGTTCAGGTACTGCTTGGGCTACTTCTGGCTGTCCGAGGCCCCGCCCACTTAATGCTGAGTGGACAGAAACCTCCGCTGTCTTCGTCGCAGGAGAAACATATCGTCGTTCCTCTTTTCCCCGCGACGCCACGTTTTCCCTCTCTCCCAACAAGTACTCCGGCCCAGGAAACAAAACCTCTCGTAGCAACGACAAACCCGCAGGTAAGAATGACACTGCTCTTGCATAACACTTAGAGCATTTCTTCTCATCATTACTATAGCTCTCTTATGAGGTGTGACTTCATACTATTTTAAATGGTGTGTTACTTTCGTTTCGTGCAGTTTTCAGTGGAAGATGTTAAATTGCCCAGAACTTTCATGGAAAATGTGAAATTCTTTCACCATATGTGACATCTGGTGTCATGCATGCACGTGCATTTGGTGTTTTTTCTCCACAACTAGAAGTTGCATGTGTGTGTGTGTAGGTTGTCTGTGGCATTTGGGAATTGTGGGTTTTTTGACGTAAAGAAAGTACTCTAATCATATCAACAGATCATCCGCCGGCCCGCGGAAGTGTAGAATTTGTTTCCTGAATCTATACCGTAATTATGGATGCGAAAACGCGCGCGCGCACGATTGGAATGCTAATTAGTGTCAAAGTTGAGCAAATCCGCATTTCAGCAGGGCCGCGGGGTAAGTATAAAACGTTGGACAATCTTTGTCGTCTTCATCCTTCTACCGAAACTAAAGTAGTTCAGTGCCACTGTTGCCCATCCAGCCTTCTATTCTCTAGTCATCAGCAAAATGGCAGCTGACGAGATCGAGTGTATGGAAGGGAACCGAGCTCTGCAAACGGCGCTTGAACTGTCGATGTTAGAGCTGAACCTTGGCGGGGGACACTCGGCGGGGACCTACAACGGCACCGCTAGCCAGGAGTCTCCGTTCAGCTATTTCAACGGCAGCGACTCCGGCTCCCTGCTCTCCAGTTCGCCCAAAAAGTCGCAGAACATCACCCAGTGCGTCGCCGTTCCGAGTTCCGAACACGTCGCCGAAATCGTCGGGAGACAAGGTGTGTGTAGTGTGCGCGGTGCAAGCTAGAACCCCGCGCGTGTCTGTCTTGTTGACGACGCAGTTAGTGGTAGCATGAACAGTTTATGGAACAAACACAAGAATGGCGATTGACTGTTTCTTTCCCTTGTGCAGGTTGCAAGATTAAGGCACTGAGGGCCAAAACCAACACCTACATCAAGACCCCGGTCCGTGGCGAAGAGCCAATCTTTGTCATCACCGGCCGACCTGAAGACGTGTCTGCAGCGAAGCGGGAGATTCTGGCAGCCGCCGACCACTTCACGCAGATTCGCGCCTCTCGCCGCAGCAGCACCGTTACTTCTCCTTCCAGTGCGTTCGGATCTCCGACCGAAGACAACAAAGTCACCATACTCGTTCGAGTCCCTTACAGGGTTGTCGGGCTTGTCGTCGGACCGAAAGGAGCCACCGTGAAGCGAATCCAACAGCTCACGAACACTTACATCGTGACGCCGTCCAGGGACCGTGAGCCGTGTTTCGAGGTGACGGGCTCGGCCGAGAACGTGGAGCGAGCCAAGCGAGAGATCGAGAGCTACATTGCTCTCCGCACCGGCGGTAGTCTCGACTCCGACTATGAAACAGATTATCTCTCGCTTCTGTCGCCCACGCTCGAGCCCGTCTTCTCACCGAGCCTCGGCGGGAACGGTAACGGAAGCGGTTCCACCGGAATACCCACGACCCGCAGCCATCTGCTCACTCGCAGCGCATCCGAGAAGCTGTTCCAATTCCCGAGCCGTCTCAGCAGCAGCCCGCCCAACACGCTGGCCCTCAGCACGCCTCTGGAGGGAATCGAGCTCAACAACTGGGGCGACAAGCCCACGCGGTGCAGCCCGCTCTCCAGTGCCGTGTTCGGTGCCAAGAGCCTCAGTCAGGAGGGGCAAGACTCCTCGCCTTACTCTTTCAACACCCCAATGTCTGCCCCTGTTGCGTTTGCCGACCGGGTGTTCGACTTCAGCGATCTGAGGACCAGTCTCAGGCATCAACCGCCAAGCCCCACTGGTTCCTGGGAGTCCAACTCCAGCGAGGGAACAGCTGCAGTGTCTCCTAAACACTCTCCTCGTCTCCCGCAGAGGAGCATCAGCCTCTCGTGCAACGTGTGTCGAAGTCGTGAGGTGTGCGCTGCACTCATTCCGTGCGGGCACAATCTCTTCTGCCACATCTGCGCCCACAAGATCAGCACCTCGCACGGGAGCTGCCCCGTCTGTCGCTCACAGGTCACCAACATGCTTCGTCTCTACCAGTAGAGGCCCAGTTTCTGCAACTACCCGTATCGCTCCTCTCCCCCAAGTTACTAAACCCCCCCCTCCACCCTCTCTCTCACTCCTCCTCTCCCACTTGCCAAAATTTGCACATTCCAAAGATCCAGGTATCCACTAACAAGAAACTGCTGTCAGAAGATTATCCTTATTTTCACTTTGTGTCCGTCCACCCCCTCCTCTCTCCCTCCCTCCCTCCCTCCCCCTCTCTCTCTCTCTCTGAAGAAGGGTGGTTTAAAATATCATTTTCGGACGCTTCGGTCCATCTCAAGTTTCTTTGGCATTTCTATTCTATTCTTGTAGAGTACGTGTATTTCATCACCACGGCTCACTGTTAGATTTATAGTGTTCAGTCTCTTTATTTGGAGTTTAATATAAACGTGATCAATTCATAACCATTATCACATTCCTCATTTTCATGTATATAATATATTACACATCTTCAGAGTTTAGGTTGTCTTCATTTGTATCAGATTCAAAGATTTATATATCTCAGAGTGTTTATTTGGAAAATATAGTAGGTCGCAAACTTTTGTGTGTCCTTCAATACCAGATATCAATAAGATCATTTTTAAAAACTTACTTTGTATATGGAGAGCAGCGCAATTAGTTTTAGGTCCAAAGGGAAGAATTTGCAGTTCATGATTTTTGAGGAAAACAGCGTGTGAAGTCAAAAGAAGGCAGCTGGTTTGTGCTGACTGGGAACAGAGATGCAAAATGTGGGGCTTATGGTGGTGCTGTGCTTTGTGTGTTAGAGATGAAAGGGATAAGTTAATCAGCCTGCTTAATATTAGCGTCCTAGATA